AATCCTCCTCTTTTTGCTGAGGAAGACCGGCTCTGAGCTAACATCTATTGCCAATCCTCCTCCTTTTTTTTTTTTTTTTTTTTTTTTTTTTTTTTCTTTCCCCCAAAGCCCCAGTAGATAGTTGTATGTCGTAGTTGCACATCCTTCTAGTTGCCACCTTTAGGTTTTTGATCACCAATTTTTCCCTCTATCCCTGAAAATGAGTGGGGTAGCCGTATATTCAAGTGTATGTCTTGATTAGGTTCAATTTTCTTCAGAGAATGTAAAACCAGTCTCTAGTTGGTTGATTATTAAAGTTTATGGCTTCCTTCTTCTTCAAGAACATAAATCATATCCACTCAAAAAATATATACATTTATTATAGCATTATTTAGTATCTCAAAATAGGAAAAATTTATAAATGCCCAATTACAGGTGTTTATTAAGAATAATAATATCAGGTTCATGATCTATTGCTAAATGAATATTCAAATGTTAAATATAGGTAAAGTATTTAATGGATTATTTCTAATTAGATGATGGCTTATTTTTTTTAATACTAATTTCCATAATTTCATTTTATCTTCTGTAGTCTATAATCTTTTGTAAATGAGAATGTATTACTTTGGTAAGTAGTTTGGTAAGTAGATTCTAATAACATGAAGGATTTTCAAGTTTTTTGATGAGACGGTGAATGTTTTCCAGCCTAATTTTTAACAAACTCTAGGCTGGAAAAATTATATTCATGGAGGAAGCCCTGGAAGTTATATACTCCATCCATTCTCAAAACACATTTTGTGTTTTGGATCAGGTGCTTACCTCTTCAACATGATTTTGACCACATATTGAATGGTCTTTGCTATAATGTTCTTTGGTATTGTACACCTGGTTTTTATTGAGAGAAAATTTAAGACAAAGACTAATAGATTTACTATTGGTTTTAGTTGTAATGATATACAGGACAAAGATCTGTGCCTCATTCTGTTTCTCTATAAGCAGCACTGGAGAAATTCCTGACAGCTCCCAGTACCTAGGCTTTTCTTGAGCTATTTGTATATTTTTATGTCTTAGATACACTGACATTGTTTATTTATTGGTTTTGCATTTATTTTGTTCTTTGCCTATCAGGAATTTCAGAGTCAACTATTTCCCCCATATTAGAACTCGACAGGGCATTACAGCAGCTCAGTTGGGGATGCTTACTTCATATCTTATTTCCCCTAGTCTTATTTCTTCCTCACCAAAATATTTATATATTTAAAAAAAAATCCTGTTTTGACTATTTTGCAAGCTGCCTTAAATTCTTTTATAAACATATAGAATAAGGAACAAATTAGTGAATCAAATGAATCCTTCTAAAATTGTTTAGAGTGCCAAAATTTCTTTCTGGTATACTTTAACATTTTTGTAAAAAGGAAATAAAAATGAGTAATTAGTGAAACAAAAATATCATGAATTTATACCTCAAGAAGATAATATTTTATTCTTCGATATAGTCCAATTATTTTTAAAGTAGCCTGTACCTCATTGTAGAGTCCTAAAGATGAACAATATAAAGTTAACTGATGAGTTGATCTTCTCTCTAAATTCATTTCTTTTATCCCTATCTGGGTTTCTGAAACAGGAGGATTTAATTGACTGGAGCCAGATTTTCACAGACATGTTATATGGCAATTGTCTAATGTGCCATAATAATAATTGTCAGATTGTCTAATAATTATCATATTATATGGCAATTGAAGGACTTAGAAGAATCCCTCTCTTACCCACACTATTATTTTGGGAACCTGTCAATTTGATCATATATAATGGCCCAAAACTATAAATATAGATAAAAGAAACTATGTGAGGAAATGCACATTCACCTTTTTTTGATGTGCTTTTAAAAGAAGTTCTATATAAGCAGTTTAAATAAATCAGCTCAAATTATTATTATATTATAGATAATCCAATAAGCATACTTTAACTTACATTTGACTTTTGTCTTAATATGACAACTATTGATTTAATGAAGCTCTAATACATTAGCAGCTCTTTTAAAGATGAATAAGTATTTCTTCTTCATAAAGAATATAAAAATATAGTGTTAATTCCTATTCATTCCTGTTCATTAACAGCTAACAAAGGATAATAGAATTATAATTTTAAGGTCCTTAATAAAATCACTTCAGATTTGGAAAAATACCAGATTTGTTAACATTTAAAAATCTTTTCTCCAGTGTCTCATTGTCTCAATTTATCTACTCATATATGACTTGTGATTTATACTTTAGAATGCTCCAGAATGAACAAAACTTTCACGTCCCATTGAAATAATAATTTTTCCTTCTCCTTTTCCTTATTTATTTTTCCTTTGAATAGCTTTTGAGTGAGAGGCACTTACTCGACCCCACTGTTCAATTCTTCAGGAAAACATGAGAATTACTGAGTAGAACAAACCCATCCATCTAGGGTTTATGTGAACTCCTGAGTCCAGTCTGAACCTACAGAAAAAAAAAATTTCTTTGATAAGTCTCCTCTCATGTAGTCTTGAAGTGAGAATTCAGGTGTGTGGTGGATTAGATTTACACAACATGCTGTGTAACCAACCTCTCCAAACCAAGAGAGAATATAAATATGCCATACATTTATAGGCACTCTATTAAAGCTTATCTGAGACCCAGCACAGAATCTTTTAAAAATGGGAACATCTTAATACGGGAGAAAAAAAAAAAGATACCTTCTTTCTAGGAGGGCAACTAATGGCTGTAGATCCTGGTCTTGATCTCGACAAAGTGCCTCACTCCCTTTCCTCCAGGAGTATTTATAAGAAGTCCTTAATTTAATGTTTCTTATTTTGTTTTGAAGTAAATCAGCATCAAATCTGAAAGACAAAAAGCCTTTCAATTTGATTTGGCTATAAGCTACTTCCTTTATGTCAGAGAACCATAAAAACAGGGAAGTTCCCATAACATGACAGTACAAGACAAATTTAGAAACTACATTAAACTTAATTCCTAAATACACTTTGCGACTATTCATTACTTGACTGAATTTTGGCATCAATTAGAAAGTGTGATGAAGGAATCTTATGCTTTATTTCATTTTATGTTAAGCATGGAATAGAATGGAATAATATAAATATTTTCTTAAATAACAATGTGGTGTCTCTTCCTGTATTAGTGTTACAAGCATGAATTACCTACTATGAATAAATATAAAAACTGAAAATCCTTTCCATCCTGTGAATTTATTATTGACAACCAAATATGTCTAGTTATATGTAATACCAAATAAGAAATAGTGATAAGACATAGTGCTGGATGGCAGTGCCCAAGTCATAATCAGAGTGATGTGAAGTGATTTAGTTTGATACCCTCTGGGATCACAATAGTGGCTGTAGTGTTTGTTAAGAGTGAGAGAACCCTCTCTTCCAAGTATGTAATTTTCTCTCTGTGGAATCAGTTAACACAAACCCCCACAGTAAAGGCCTCACAGAAAAAAAACAGTGCTCATATACAAGCACAAAAATATTTACCTCATTAGCTCTTGAACTATAACATATGTCTAGCATTGACTAAAGAATTACAAGATATACAGAAAGGCAAGAAAAAAGTCTGAATATGAAAAGAGCGATTATCAAAACCAGAGTCAGTTGTTACACAGATGTTGAAACTCTCAAGGAGGGAATTTAAATAATTTTGATAAACATATTGAAAATTCTAATGGTAAGATAAACAAGATGCAAGATCACATAGCTAATTTCAGCACAGAGATGGAAACTATAAGAAAGTATCAAATGGAAATGCTAGAAACCAAAAGTTTACTAATGGTGAAAAAGAACACATTTGATTGGTTCATCAGTAGATGGAATACAGCCCAGGAAAGAATCAGAGAACTTGAAGATATGATGATTTCCTTCTCTCCCTCCCTCCCTCCTTCCTTGCTTCCTTCCTTGCTTCCTTCCTTCCTTCCTTCCTTCCTTCCTTCTTTTCTTCACTTAGTCATTCAAACAATGCTTTTGAGTACTATTGTAGGCCCCAGAGAATATAAGAAATGCAACCCAGTAGATAAAAAGTAATCTGGGGACAAAATTAAAACAAAATCTTTGGAATTTAAAGCTCCAAAGGTATTACCTTTTGTGAATGAAGAAGTTGAAAAGCTGCATATAAACTTAATCAACTCTCTATTTCAGACTGCTGCACTAAAAAAATAGGTATTATTAAGTCCCTTATTTTATGATGCAACATGATAGGAAATCTGTGGATTATGTTGGACAGTTGGAAAGAATAGACATGAACAATAAGCAAAAGAGTAACCTTCTTCTGTTATGGACAATATCATACTCCACAAACAGTAGGCGATTTAAGAATATTGACGGACCAGAACATATCCTGCTATTTTGTAGTAATGGAAAAAGAATGCCTTTTCCTCTCTTACTGACTGCTGTGCTTTTGGAAGTGTCAAGGTGTTTGATTTGTAAGAGAAATACTCAACAAAGATTTGAGTAAGTACTCAAACTAAGTATTGTTGCTACAAATATGCAACCCATGACCAGATATTTTGTAGTGTGTTTTCCTACTTCAATATTTTTAAAACTCTTCCAGTTACAGGAAATCTTTAGCCATCCATCCATACCAATGAGATAAACTTGAATCTGAGAGTCTTTGACAAATCCTTGAAGAGTATTTACTGATCACAAAAGGAGCTATGGTAAATGCTATGCTCCAGTTTAATTTACTATAATAAAATATTGGGTCTGAAATATATGGAATATATGGAATTCATTTGAATACTAGATAATGTTTTCACTGCTGGAGATTCAAGTGAAACTCCGCTTACACATTGCCCCTCGTATTGCTTACATTTTAATTTGGGAAGCCAACAAATATATAGAGGCATTCAGCGGTTAATTGGGTATACACGTCTAAATTTGGGGAACAAAAATTTAGAGTTGAATCTAGAGAATTTGGAGCTGATTTTAATCAGCTGATTGTATGTGGCAATTAAAATGGTTAAAGTGGATAAGAGCATATAGGAAAAATGTATAGAGTTAGAGAAGAAGTGGCTGAGATCAAAGCCCTAGGGAACATCAATGTTTGTGTGGGAGAAAGAACAGGGGTTCACGCAAAATACCTAGAAGAAGGAGCTAAAGAAAGAGAATTATAAGAATTACCAGGAGATAAATCTTAATCAACAGGTCCAAATAGAATAGTGTCCCTGCGGGCAACTTATTCCTTTTCTACTACAATTTCCTCGTCTGCAAGGTCCAATGCAATAGTGTGAAATGAGTTGACAACAGTGACTCCATTTTGTACGCTGGACTTCATCTTGTTGAAAAAATATAAAACTGTCCTGACATTGTGTACTTACCACAAGGGTGTTATTTGCTAAAGAAGGACTTTCTGAAGGACTGTACAAAAATATATTTTTCTGGTAGCAATAACATGTCCTTGAGTAAGCCAATGAACTGTAACATAAATTTATCCTTCTGAACAAACAACTGAGGTAATTGTTCTTTTTACTAATAAAAATTCCTGACTTTTACTCCTTGGGGGACAATTTTCTGGCTGCTGCTGGAAACTGTTTTCCACAAATTGCAATTCTAAGACTCCAAATAAACACTCTCTTTTTGTTTGGCAGTTGCCTCTTTTTTTTAAGTTGACAATAGTTATTAGTATATAATAGTACTACTAATAGTTGTAAGGTAAATTGAGACAAATATATAAATTACTGTGCACATAACTGTGCATCAGTTTTAGATATCGTAATCATTATTACTTTTGCCACAATAAACATCATTAAAAAGGATATATTACAGAGGATATTTTAAAAAGCTTCAAAAGAACTATTAGCTTTGAACTAGAGGAAGATCACCATATCCCTCCAGACTTGAAGGAAACAGTTAAATTTATGTTCAGATTTAGATCAAGTTATTGAAGTGTCATACTAGGGAGGTGGATAGCGTTTAGGCTTGATGGACTCAGTATTGTCTATGAATTAAAAAGGGAAATTGTTTTCTAGTGAGATTAATTGGAAGCTTAAGGAGAGTTGAGGAAGGCAGCTAACTCTAATGCCAACAAGACTATTTGGTAAGTAGTCTTTGGTGACTGACAAAGTTTAGAAGACATACTTACATTAGAATTCAGCTGCTTGGGTGGAGTAGCTGTAGAAATTGAGTTCGTGGTTGGGTTTTTTCCTGGTAAGACTAAGCGCAGAGGGGCAGAAAAGTTATATGAACTATCAAGATAATGTTTAAAATAATCAAGGATGAAGTCTGGACTGTGTAAGATAGGAAGTTAGGCTAATAGGGAATAGATAGAATGGAATATAATCAGAGTGTTAGGGATGGAGTGTTCTATGAAGACAAAGCAAAATTCTCTTAGCTTCTACCTGTTTCACCGTTTCAAAATATATGTCATATGTTACCTCCTTATGAAAACCCCTTCAGTGTTCAGCCTGAATAAGAAAGGAAGTGAGGCTAAGAGGGATTGGATAGAATGGAATACAATGGGAGGGCTAAAGGGCTGGAGTATTCTATGAAGTCAAAGAAAAAGTCACCAATTTTCAAATCTTTTCACCAAAGGCACATATCATATAATGTCACTTCCCTGTGAAAATCCCTCCAGTGTCTTCCCATCACAACCAAATGCTTAACACAAATTCCTAAGCTCAAATAACCTTCATCTTGATCCCTTCCTCCCTGATCTACTTTCCCCATCCCTCTAACTTCTCTGGACATGTTTACCCCCTTAGAGTTTTCCCTTATAACCCTTGCATACACCTACTTATTTACTTTTGCTGTTTCTTCATTTGTTGATACCATTACTGGGGGGCCTTGGAAGGTTTATGTTCTCCATGTCTGACTCCCTACTTTAGTATGACAATGCGAAATGAGAGAGAAGGAATGAGGGCTCTGGTGAAGATTTGGGATTAATGCTGTGGCAAATTATGAGCATGAATAAATCAGAGAGATGGGAGAATGGTGGCTGAATATCACTGTGAACCCAGCTGTGGTGGGAGAACATAATTTTTAGTGTTCAAGGGTATCCATTATGAGAAGTAAAATTGAAGTGCCCAGGAAGCGTTCAGTTATTTCATTGGTAACCAAGCTTGTTTAAACTTAACTCTTAAAGGACTTTTTATATTATCATCAGTAGCCTAGTGGGCCAGTATGAACAATGGAAATGATGATGACACACCAAATAATGCATTTGAAATTTTATTTTACATGGAAAAGAAATGTGGTTCTACAATTCAGAAAGAGGGGTGAAAACATCTTAAATAGTCATCAGCCTGGTTTGTATGAAACCACAATACAGACCCAGCATATTCAACACGAACTACAGGAAGAGCATAAACAATCCAGAAAATATTCTGCACAGTCTTCATTTGGCTTGATATTTCTGCCTTATTAATAGGCCTCTCCAAACATGCTAGCGGTATGAAGTAATATAGTAGCTAAGAAACTGTAGAAGGTAGATTTTCCAGTCAAACCTAAAAAGAAAAAGATAATACTGCATTATCTATTAGACTTATATTCCAGAATATAATGCATGTTTGTGTACAGCACACACACACTCATCCACACTAGTCTGGCGGAATGTTATTATTTCTAATGATTACTAGTTACTATTTTCTAGTGCCCAACATGATACCTAGCATATAGTAGGATTTTAATAACTATTTGTTGAACGATTAATGAATGCCTAAAAGTTAATAGCCAAGCTCTTCAATCTAGCATACAAAAATAATGTTTATATTTATTTATTAAATGGTAAATATTTACATTTTTACAAATATTTACATTCAGCCAGTTTTGAAGGAACATTTATTCTTCTTTTCTAAATAGTTTATTAAATATACAAAATATTAGTGATTCTTACATTTTAAACCTTTTGATCTAATTGAAATCATATTTTAGTAACATAATTTTATTATGCAAAATTTGGGCTGATATTTTAAGAAACCACTTTAAAATTATTAAATTCTTCAAAACCTATTGTATCTATTGCAAAAGAAACCATAAAATAGTTTTCTTTTTTCTGGTTTCTTTTGTAACTTTCCTCTCAGTTCAATAACTTTTGCCTTATTTTTTTTCTCTGCTGTTGCTTTGCTTAGTCTATTTCTAATTATCTGAAAAGATTTAGTTAAGGACTTAAGTCTGATGCATCAGCTTGACTTTCTTGTACTACCCTATGGTCTCATGCCTCTGACTTAGCATTTGGCCATTTCTGTGGCCTTGTCTAGAACAGATCTTAATGAGAGTGAGTTTGGTGTCTTATTTCTGTCTCTCACATTATGGGATACATGATCAGCCATTTTTTTTTTTTTGGGTGAGGAGGACCAGCCCTGAGCTAACATCCAATGCCAATCCTCCCCTTTTTTCTGAGGAAGACTGGCCCTGGGCCAACACCTGTGCCCATCTTCTTCTACTTTACATGGGATGCTGCCACAGCATGTCCTAACAAGCGGTGCATTGGTGCGCGCCTGGAATCCGAACCTGCAAACCGCAGGCCGCCACAGTGGAGTGCTCTCACTTAACCACCGCGCCACCGGGCGGCCTCACATGATCAGCTTTTAAAACAAATAGAATAAATATATAACTAATGATAGCAAAGGGAATATTGCTATTTATAAAAGTGTGTTTTTAACTCATACAAAGTAGTTATGTTATTATTTTTCTCACATGAGATTATTTTGTAAAGTTATCTGACACTTTTTCATCATTAGGAGGGCCAAAATGACATGACAAAGCAAATCAAGTTTGTGACAATGTTCTTGAAGTTAAAAAATATCCTCTCAAAAAACTCCCTAGCTGGACTTTGGGTGCAGTTTGTCATCAGTAGTGGAGTGTTGGAGCTCTAGGACCAGAAATCTGTATTAGATTCTTGGCTTTTCCATTTTTGCAGGGTGATCACAAAAAATTTATTTAAACTCCCTGAGCCTCAGTTTCCTTATCTCAAATTGGCTCATAATATTAACTACCTCACAGGTTTTTTTGTGAGAATGAAATTAGTTAATATAGGCAAAGGCTTTAGAACTGTGACTAGCAGACTGTAAACCTTCAATAAATTATTGTTGGGCCGGCCCTGTGGCTTAGCGGTTAAGTGCACGGGCTCCACTGCTGGCGGCCCAGGTTTGGATCCTGGGTGCACACTGACCCACCACTTCTCCGGCCATGCTGAGGCCGCGTTCCACATACAGCAACTAGAAAGATGTGCAGCTATGCCATACAACTATCTATTGGGGCTTTGGGGGGAAAAAATAAATAAATAAATAAAATTATAAAAAAAAAAATAAATAAAATAAATTATTGTTATTACTGTTACTACCTATTTCTCTGAAACCTACTTTGTCCTGTTGCAGGACATATAAAAAAACAAGAAAATAAATTGAGCGAGATGGAATTCCAAGATAGGAGATAACCTATATACTGTCAGGACAATATAAGAAAAATAAAAGGTGACCACACAAAAACAACACTGATGTGCATTAGTATATTTGGATCTCCATCATGGCTTTAAAGCAATGGTTAAAATGTCAGAGAAAGAAACAAAGAAAAGTAGGTATTGTGTGTTAAAAAAAATGATGATTTTTCCAGAGAAAAGGATGCAGAGAATTTGTTTTAAAATAGCTTGACTTGTGTAGGGAACTCTCTTGATAGTCTGTATTTTCCACCAAACCGAAATGCTGAGTCTGAACTTCTTGGTTCAAATCAAAGGTGACAGGTAAACATCTCTGTGAACCTTACATTAGTGATGATTTCCACCCAGAGCCATTGCTTCTGGTTGGATGTATCATCAGCTATAGATAAAATTTCTTATAATTTATTTTCAAAATACTTATAAAACACATGCATGCAAATCACACAGATAACTTACATTTGTGAATCAAAAATTGAAAGTATTTCATATATAAGCAAAATTGAAAGTATTTCATAAGCCAAAATATGATTTAATTAAAGGTGAAACTACATTACTTAACAATATTAAGTTTGCATTCACACAAAAGTCCTATTTAAATTATTATTTAAATTCAAGGCCTAAAGACACTTACCAAAGTCAAGTAGAAACAGTTAATTCAAGAATCTTAAAAGTACTTCTATGAAAGAGAAAGAAATGACATATTTTAGCTAAATGTCTATAATAACAAACAAACGAAAATATTTATATCTCCATGGAAATATTTATAACATATTTTAGGCATCTCATATTCAAACTGCAGATACTAAATTCTTATTTTCTCTAATAATAGGGAAGACATCTTTATGAGGCAACTCTTTTTTTTTTATTTTTATTTTTTGTGAGGGAGATCAGCCCTGAGCTAACATCCGTGCTAATCCTCCTCTTTTTGCTGAGGAAGACCGGCTCTGAGCTAACATCTATTGCCAATCCTCCTCCTTTTTTTTTTTTCTTCCCCAAAGCCCCAGTAGATAGTTGCATGTCATAGTTGCACATCCTTCTAGTTGCTGTATGTGGGATCTCAGCATGGCCGGAGAAGTGGTGCGTCCCTGCGTGCAGGGGGGATCCGAACCTGGGCCGCCAGTAGCGGAGCACGCGCTCTTAACCGCTAAGCCACCAGGCCGGCCAGGGAAGACATCTTTAAATCCTATCTATCTATCTAAAAAACTAGATTATATTAAAAAATCCTGAGAAATGAAGTGACTTGCTCAAAATCAAAAGCTTATTTATTGATTCCAAATTTTACTTTGTTTATATTAAATTGTCAGTTCTCTGGGTTCAATTTCCTGCTCTCATTTGTTTATCATGTTAAAAAAAATGTTTCCTAAGTCACATTATTTTTTAATGAAATGAAGGATAAATGAAACTAGAGCTTGGTCTAACTACTTTTTAGAATTTCAGACACTTTCATAAAACGGAAATAATATTCTCTATCTTGACCTATCTCTAAGAATTGCTATAGGAATAAACTTAAGTATTAGAAACAAACACTTAAGAAATTTAAATCCACTGTAAAGGCAATTTATCATTATAATTGTTTTTTATTATTGCAGCTGTATTTGCACTATATGATTTAAAATTTAATTTCCAGCCTAGAAATTTTTGTCTAATTTTGTTTTAGTTTCTACTTGAGAACTTGTTGGAATTTTAGTTCTTTATTTCATTTCCTTAGCTTACTTATATGACAAAAGATAACTCTACATTTTGTAATTAATAATTAAAAGGGACAACTCACCAGAAAGGGGATAACTTGGTAAGCATTTGTCTTAATGTAACTCCACGGATTCATAGTTGTCTGTTGACGAACAATCTTGAGATATTGGGGCAAGGTGAACTTCTGATAATACTGTTTGATTTTGTTTTAGAAAAAAATTATAAGTAATTATCCCAATATCCCATGTGTCAGAGCACACTTGAACATGACCAAATAAAGTAAAACTTTATTTATTTAGATAAATCCTAAGTGACACTAAATAGACCTAATCAAAGGAAAGTTTATTCATACAAAGTTATTTACATTCATAGAATGAACTGTAGAATTGAGAAAATTCTTTGATTAATTCAGACCCAAGGCCAAAATGCTTAAGTGAAACAAAAAAAGAGAAAAAGTACATGTAAGAAGGCAAGATAATGATAATTTCTTAACTTACTAAGATAAATGTCTCAGATTGTGTTTTCTTTTCTACGTCTGGTAGAAAAACCCTGGTTCTTAGAGTCATAGAGAATGTACGATTTTAATTTAGCACTGAGTCAATTGTTAATCTGAGCGTCACTTACTTTTTAGAAGTAAATGAATTGAGAGAGAGCACTTTGCATAGTACCTGTCACCTATTTTATGATTAATGAATATGTATCACCTGTATGTTCTATTTTGAACCATCTATATGGACCTGACTATCGATTGTTGTACGGATTAAAACTGGAATTAAGCACAGTGGCATCTGCCTTCAGAATAATTTCCTGTTTTTACTAAATGGACAATCAGTGAGTTTTTAGAATAACCAGGGAATAATGGTCTGGCAGATACATGGCAACGATACAATTGGTACAATGGGAGAATGTTTTTGTAGCAGTTTTGACAAAGTACAAGGAAGGCTTTTATAGAAATGAGAATTTATAAAAAGTTTTTTTGTTGAGAGGATTGCAATTCAGCAGTGTCTAAGCAGAGTCTGGTTGTGTTATAAACGTTTGTATGGAAAATTTACCAGAAGTTTTAAGTAATTCTTTTCTTCTTCATTCAGCTCATTTTTCTGTTAATAACAAAAATAAACTGTGATAAATATAAAAGAAAATATTGTGAGATGATATTTAATTAATTTTGTTTGAATGAAAATTGTTTACCTCAGCGACTACTTCAGACCATTCCTTAGGGAAAGAAAACGAGAATCAGCTTTAGTTCGATAGTCCGCCAGTAATTTCGTCTATGTCATTACAGTAGAAAACTAGGGCTAATTATTTTACTAAGTGAGGGCCAAGCCACAGCTACCAAGAAACAAATGCTACTTTATAGGAATTTATTATGAATTAAATAAGTTTAAATATCACTTCCACTTATGCTACGTGGAAGGGTCTTGCTTACATAGAAGGACTTAATTGAAAGAATTCAGGACAATTGAGAGAAATAAAGTTAAGAGGTAGAGAAAAATTGTATTTTTAAGTAACTTAAAAATATCACTGTATTTTATTAAAAGAAGAGCATTTCAGATAGGCTTAACTGTTAATATTAGTTTTTGAAAATATAAATTAAATATAGCTTCATGTAGAAGCAATACCTTACCATATCAACAGTCTTCTTTGGGATTTCCTTAAAGAAATAAAAGAAGAATTAGACACTTCATTCTCACTGTATTGGTTATACATAATTTCCTCTTGAATATATACAGAAAAATCCCCTTTCTTTATAAAGAAGAATAAAATTAAATTTATTTATTTATTTATTTATTTTATTTTATTTTTGTGAGGAAGATCAGCCCTGAGCTAACATCCATGCCAATCCTCCTCTTTTTGCTGAGGAAGACTGGCCCTGAGCTAACATCCATGCTGATCTTCCTCCACTTTACGTGGGACGCAGCCACAGCATGGCCTGACGAGCGGTATGTCGGGTGTGCGCCCCGGGTCCAAAGCTGGGCCGCCAGCAGAGGAGTGTGCACACTTAACTGCTACACCAGAGGGTGGGCCCTTAAATTTATATTTATTGCTTCTTTTAATTGCTGTTGTATCCTGAAGATCTAGGAGCATGGAAGGGACATAGTATTTGCTAAATATATATTTCTTTTTTTTTCTTTTGTTTTGTGAGGAAGACCAGCCCGGAGCTAACATCTGATGCCTTCTTCCTCTTTTTTGCTGAGGAAGACTGGCCCTGGGCTAACATCTGTGCCCATCTTCCTCCACTTTATATGAGACACTGCCACAGCATGGCTTAACAAGTGGTGTGTTGGTGCGTGCCAGGGCTCCGAACTGGCGAACCCTGGGCCGCCGCAGCGGAGCACGCACTTAACTGCTTGTGCCACCAGGCCTGCCCCTATATATTTCTTAAATGAACAATGAATGACATATCTCATCAATGAACCAATAAATGGATAAATTTTATCTGACTGGTATGCATGACCACATCCTTTTCCTGGTTATATTTATACAAAATAAGTAATATTTATTGTATAGCCATATCAAAATAAAAAGTAATTTCTTAAATATAGTTAATATAAGTGGTTTCCACTTACTTCCTGAGATAAGTTGGTAGATTTCTTAAAAAAATTAAAATGATACATTTAATCTTATTTATAAAATTTGCATTTTTCTTTTTTTTCTTAGACTTTTATTCATTCTTAGACTTTTACTCATTCTCAGAGATGAAATAAGTAGGAATAAAATGAGGATATTTCTTAGGTGATGTGAAAATGTCTCTAGTCACCTGTGATATGCAGGAAGACATTGGGACAATAGCACTTTGTATGGATCTGGGTGAACGAGAGTCCTTATTCCAGAATGATACACTGGATTCCCCCCACACCGTTTACAAAATTGAAGATGTACTCGTCTCCCGGTGTGATAGGAATATTAATGAGTGACTTTAAAAAAAAGTAGAAGTAAAATTTTTGGTAAACTCCACTAGCACAAATCTAATCTTTGTATCCTTGGATGTGTGCATTTTTCTTCTGCCTTCCACAAATTTTTCTTAGAGGTCTGACGTTCCAATTCTACAAATTATGTAAATCTAGAATTATTGCTTAAAAAACGAGTTCAAAGACTCTAGTACAGTGCATAATAAGTTTATAACATCTTGCTAATCACAGGGGTATTGTCTTTGTAGTAAAATGCCTTACCTCACTGGTGAACAGCTGTTCTCTGTTCTGTATCTCAGGAAAAAAAAAATGGCCAAAACAAGAGAACTTTTGTTATTATTCCTTATATGAGAAAAATTTCCTTAAGATAGAACTGTTTTGTGAAACAAAATGGAAGAAAGTACTTGGAACTCGCGCAGGTTACTGCACTTCCTTACATTATCTTACATTACAGTCTTTTTTGTTATGTGAAGATAGTGATTTCTATCCTGTCCTACATTAGAGAATTGTTTGAGGAACCAAGCAAAATGATATATGAGCAACATTTAGGACATGTATTTTAAATTAAAATGAAATTACTTATTTGTCATTTTCATTACTTTTATTTATTATTATACTTGGAATATATTGTTTACTTTTAATTTCTGGACTATAAAATTTTGTTTACATTTGTTCTGCTTTCTAAGTTAGAACCTGTTGGGGCATTTTGTCTCTAGCTACTTTACATCTCTTTATCCTAAGCTGGTCCCTCACCAAAAACAAAGAAGAAAAACAAAACAAAAAACAAAACAATGAACAACAAAGCAGCACTCACTACAATGGGAATAAAGGGGAAGGCACTTGTCTTAACCTGACCCAATGGGTTCACAAAAATTTGGGGTTGACGAAGAGCCTGAAGATGTCGGAGGAAGTTCCACTTCTGATAAATTTGGTTGATTTTGTTCTAGAGAGAAAGGAAATTATCAACATTTACTCCAATACTGAATCTCCTCCATGGGTCAAGCAGATCTTGGAGCACTAAATTACTTAGAACTTTATTTAATTAGAGAATTTATAAATGGTGGCAAATTTACTTAACAAAAGAATAGTTTGGGCACATAAAATTTACTGTAACTGTGTCTACATTTATAATAAATTGCAGAATTAAATTATTTGATAGATTGAAGCCTCTAGAACAATATCTAGGTGAAAAAACAAAAGTATGTATACAAAGGAAAAGGAAAATTTCTTGAATTACAAAGTAAATATCTGTCATTTTTTTCCCATGTGTGTAAGAAGTCTGGTCTTTGGTGTCAGAGCTAACTTTTAGTTCCCTTGATCCTGGGCACTGGAATCCATCACCCTGATCAATCAGATTGCTTAATCTCTCTGAGTTTACTTATCATGTAGGATTATATCTGTTAAAATATAGAGAATAGTTTGCATAGTGCCTATTATATTTATCTATCTATATCTAATTTTCTATCTATATCTATCTACCTGTCTATCTATCTATCTATCTATCTATCTATCTATCTATCTATCTATCTATCTATCTATCTATCTATCTATCATCTATCCATCTATCATTTGTCATCTTTCTATCTATCATCTGTCTATCTATCTATCTATCTATCTATCTATCTATCTATCAATCATCTATCAGGCTCAATAAATATTATAGTAAATTCCAGAGCCTTTGATCTAACTCTAAAAAATTTTTTTAGAGATGAAATATGAAACCACAATGGCATCTTTCCTCAGCAGAATTTTTATTTCATAGAGACCGAAAATAAATGGATGTGTAGAATGTCAGTTGGTCTTTAGAATTGCTTAGGAATTGTTATTGGATGAATCCATAGTCACATTAAGAGTGGTAAAAGGAGAGAATGCTACTGGAAGCATTTTGACAAAGAACAAACTTTATAGCATTTAGAATTTCCTAAAAAGAGAGTCCCATTTTTAAGTGTTCAAGAGAGGCTGTTTCTGTAATAAAGGTTTTAGAAAGAATGTCTGCTCTGTGTAGGGATATGATAATAATAATTGTCACCTTTTTTAGATGCATCTGTCTACTGTATTCCAAGCATTTTTGCATAATTTATGTACGTTATCGTCTAGTATAATTCTGCAGGGTCAATATAGGTATCTTCATTTTTATTGAGGAAACTGTAGCTTGGAGAGGTTAAGTAATAATTTGTGAAGTTGTGTTTGGAAGGCGAGTTGCTGATTCCAAACCATGTAATCTTTCCTTATGCACACAGCAGACTTCTCTAGTCCACAGAGGACGGCTTACGTGACCTCCTATGTGTGGCTTGGATCTTTGCTCTTGAGATATCTATCTATGATGCTATTGTCAAAAAGAAGTTGAGTGGGCATTAATGTGATACCTTAACTACACTGGTATCTAACTTATGTCATTTAAACTTGAAACAAATTTTCCGAGATTTGTAACTCCTTCAAAATCAGCTAGATAATTGCTCAACACTCATTTTTTTTTTAAATCTACAAATTTGACAAGATAATAGAAATTAAAGTAACAAACTAGAAAAAATATTTTCCTATAAATTTGGGGATAAATATCTCATTGGAATAGAATGCATTTTGTGAACATTTGGGAGAAGAAACAGCCATAATATGATGGTTTACTTGGAACTATAATTTGTGTGAGAAATTTACCAGTTGTTTTAGGTGGTGCTTTTCTTCTGCTACCTTTCTTTCTTTCTGTTTAGAAAACAAAGGCACTTGCTATAAAAATACCCAAAAAGACAACACTGCTGGGTGATATCATTTCTTTTGATTTGAATGAAAATTTGAATGACAATTACTTACCTCTGTGGAAGCTGCAACAGATTCCTTAGGGGAAGAAAAGGAGAATTACCTTAACTCGCATGATTTAGCCTTAAAGTTGTACTAGAGTAGTAGGGTCAATTAATTGAATATTTAGGGCCCATGCCAGTACTCCCAAGAAATGATATTATTTATTAGGAATTCAATAAATTAAAACATTTATCATCAAAGCCCTCACTCTGTGTCAAAGTAATAACACATGACTGAAAATGTTTCATTTCAAAATATTCATCAATTCTACATTATTTATACAGTATCAAATGCCTACATAGTATAGGCATTTGACACAAAAATATTACAGAGAAGGCCTGGTGAGGTGTATGGCAAACGACATCCTGCATACTCTTTCTAGAGGACACAATCGTTATTTATAAGTGGCCCTTGACTCTCCGTTTGAGACAGAGTTGCAGGTTAGAGAAAAAGTAAAGCCCGCTTCCTAGACGCTAAGCGGGAAGACTTCAGGCTGCGCCTGGGGCCACAAGGCTCAGGGCCACTGTTATGCTTCTTCCTTTCCCAGGTACCTTTTCCTGTCGTGCTTACTGCTTGGATATTCCTACCATAGCAGGCTTTTCTTGTACCGGTGACCTACACATCTTCATCCATTCTCTTGTTCACTTTCCCTTAAACGAGAGGTTCTCAAGTCTTAAAGTGCATCAGAATGCCCAGGTTGAGGGATAACAGTTGAGATGCTGCAGTTGAGGGATAGCATTGTGAGAACCACTGCCCCCCTAAGCAATATTGAGAGGTTTTTCAGGATAAGACTATGTCAAAGGCAAATGGTAGGCTCTCAATTGAACACTGGCTTGATTTATAATGCACTTTCCTCTGGAGTCAGATATCTGATATCCCTGACAAAGAGCACCCATGTACACTGTGGAGTAGATGGTCAGTTTCAGTCTCCTCCAAATGACATTAAGTTTGGGTAAATGATTTCTCCACTGCTTACCCTATTTGTGACTTTAACAACAAATTAATATATACTTTGCTGGAAATCTGCTATTTCTTGAAGAACTTGCTATTTGATGTTAAAAGGAAAAAGGTCTCTTACCTCACTAGATGAGCCGCTAGACTGTACCTTGAAAAATAATAATGAATATAATCAAGATCCGGTGACCAGAAGAAATCCTCAGCATTATTCTTGAATGTTAGTGGTTATTTGGGATATGTCTCATATTACCTACATAATTATGAGTATGATAAGTTAAAGGAATTGAGATAAAAGCAGTACAACCAGGTTTCTTTGTTGTTCATTATTAATCACCTTTGGAAAACAAGTGGAAGAGATGAAAATGATCTTGCAACTAAATGGAAGTGTCTCAAGAGAATACAAACCAATTTAGGTGGATGCTATTAAAGTGCGCAGGGAAAAATTGTCATTTTTAAACAATTTATAAATCTTTTTCCAGTTCATTAAAAGAAGAAACTTACAGATGTTCCCATATGCCATTAATCTTATAATGTTACATATTGGTAATATGAATCAAAAATTGCTCAAATAAATTTCTCACCATTTCATTTCAAAAAAATTTCTCACCATTTCATTTATGTTTCTTGTGGTTTCCTTAAAGAGAGAAGAAAAAGAATTAGATCTATTATCTCCAAAGTATTGTTTAGAGAATATTTCCCCCTGAATATAAAGCAAAAATCCCTATTCCATAAAGAGAAGCATTAGAATGGATTCATTTTCATTGTATGAGTTTTCTATGAACTACATTAGAATTTCCCATTTGGTGATAAACATGCAACCAGTGGTATTTATTATTGTGTTTATTGTATTTATTGTTGTGTCCCCAGAGATAGCTACATTTATTATTACATTTATTATTGTATCCCTAGAGACTGAGATAGTATTTGGAACATAGATCTTGTTCAATGAATGTTTGCCAAATGAATACACAGATTAATTTAGGCAATGCATGGATAACCTTTTTTTTTTTCATTTTAAAAGTCATTATTTCTTTTATTGTATATTAGAAAAAATATATCACTAGGCCAACTAACATGTGTTTTTGATAGTAAATATATGCTGTTTCTATGATAAACAAATTGATTTAAGTTTAGGTGAGTCAATTTCAAGAAACATATTGCAATATGAAAATAATTTAAAAAAAGAAAATGTTATGTTTGGGGCTTTTAAGACTGAAAACCTCTAAAAGACAAGTTCTTCATTTCTCATAGAATCTGGGAATTGATTCATGCCAAAATATATTTTCTCCAATTGAATTATTCATAGAATTTATATAAAAAGATGTAATTTTGGTCTCATTCTTTAGAAATAATCTTGGTTTTCAAATTTGACTGACTTGAAATATAATTTCCAGATCCAGGTTAATTTCAATTTGGTTCAAAGTACTATAATATTTTTACTTCATATTGTACTATAAATGTGAAATCAATATATACCTCACAGGATGTGGAATAAATACTCTCCTAAAAGAAAACAAAACCAAGAGGGATATAGCATTTCCTTAAATGCAGTATAATATTCTTGGGCATAAAGTGATAGCAAAGAAAAATACAATTTTGCGGACAAAAGAGTACAGAATAGGGGAAGAAAAGTAAAGTTGATGGACCATTAACATGAAATTCTTTCAAAGATATTCTGATTTAACAACGTGGCTCAAAAAGGCTCACAAATCTTTTCCTAGAATCCATTTCATGTTGGTCCATAGCATTTTGGTAAAACAATGAAAACATCACCATTTTCATAATCGTAGTTAAAAATAATGCTCATTTTTGGGTGAATGAGAAAATGACCCATGTTTGCTAGAGAAAGATATCTCATCAATCAAAGATTAATAAATTAAAATAATTAGGGCCAACCCCAGTGGCCTAGTGTGTAAGTACGGCGTGCTCGGCTTTGACAGCCTGGGTTCAGTTCCTGGGTGCGGTCTTACACCACTCATCTGTCAGTGCCGTGCTGTTGCAGCAGCTCACATACAAAAAGAGGAAGATTGGCAATAGATGTTAGCTCAGGGCAAATCTTCCTCAGCAAAATAAAATAAAAAAATAAAAGATTAAACTTTACCTTATTGGGAGGAATGACCACATTCTTTTGCTGCTTAAATTTCTATAAAATAAATAAATTCATTTTATAACCTTGATTAAATAAAAAAGTTAAAATATATGTAATTTAAAAAGTTAGGACTTACTTCGTGGGAGATTTTGACAGATTCCTTAGGGGAAAAAAACCAATATATCTTATTTACCTAAATTGTATTCATACTAGCAATGAAGTATCAATCTATAACCATTATTCATTGGATACGTAACATTCAATCTTTGCCTGAGTTACAGAACAAAGTTGACCAAAGTTTCACTCCCTCTACATAATTAACTTATTGTCTTCCAGACAATGAACTCATTCCACACTCTGCTTTGGCTTATGATAATTGCCTCAAAAGTTTTCTCAAATATCATCCACGGAGAAGAAAGAAAAAATTTTCTATTTTCTCTATGCAATTTCCAATTTACTTCTATTTTCAATATTACTTTTTTTTGGTCTTTTTTAAAGACATGGAATATATCACAGGAAAACAAGAAATTCTTAGGTAGCACTGAAGATGTCCTTGGGCATCTGCTATACACCCATGGCCTGGAAGTCATTTGGAAATTAGCATTTAATATGGATCCAGAAAGGCATGAGTGTTGTAGAAACATAAAATGGATTCCTGTCACTCTACTCACAAAATAGAATGTTTATCTTGACTTCTGAGCTAATATTTTTAATATTGAGAGACCTTTAGAAAAAAAAGCTAAAATCTAACCTTGATAATTTGAATGCATAGATTTTTGGTCCTTACTCCTCCATGTATATTTTTTTATGGCTACACTTCCAATTTTTTCTGACTCTATAGCTCTAGACTTACTGGTGAAAAAGCTATTGTAAAGACTTAATAGTTCACGGCATATTATGTTTCTACTAAGTGAAAGGATTCTATGTTTATAATAGTGTCTTACCTCACTGGGGGAGAGGCGCTCCATATTCTATATAAAAACAAAAACAAATACAAGTTTCAGTTTTATGGTTTATTTAAAATGCCAAGCTGTCTCATCGTTGTTGTTTTGGTGGGAAGGGACTTTTAGAAATCCGTTTCTGTGAATGTTGAAGGTTTAGTTGAATGTTTCCTATAATACTAATAAGCTAATCATTCTATACTTCAAATAAATCCTTGTTATGACTTAATATATTTCTTACTTCTAGGAAGTGGTTAGGTTCTTGGTTTTTAAGTATTAATCCTGTCACAGTTTAAAATATAATATGATATAGATGTGGATGTGCTACAGAATCTTAAAATGTTATAATACTGTGATATTATATTTTAGTTTATGTTAATTGTTAAATTTAATTAATCTTAAAGGAAAGACTGATGACAATTACTAATTTAGACAGAAAAGGAGAAGAGTGGTTAAGACTAGTAGATTATAAGCAGAAGAAACAGTCAAGCTTGTTATAAGATTGATCACCAAAGCATTCTTAATATTTTTTTCTGTTTACTGAACTGGAACTCTTAACCTAGCTAGGCTCTTGAATTGGCTCTAAACTTAAGAAATAACAAAAACTTTTCAAGATTTATTTGTGAAATATGGAAATGCAGAGGAAGCAGAGAACTCTGATCACGCTAAGGATATGGAGCACTTGTAGGGAGTGAGATTTTGGGTATGGGAGAGGGATTGGTGGTGCAGGCGGCAGGGTAAGGAAAAAATTTATGAGTTTCTCCTGAGGAAATTAATAGGTTACGTGTGTGTGTTTGTGTGTGTGTTTTCAGAGTACTTCACATGGGGTATCTAGTCCATCCTTATCATTTTGTGATATGAATATTATTATTACATCCTAACTAGAAGAATATGATGCTTTGAGAAGTTAAGGGATTATTTTGCATTAGGTTATTTAGCAAGTAATTTTCAAAGTTACCACTTTTCAACACATCCTTGTTTTCTGTCTAAACATCATGGATTTGAAGCTACTGTAATCAAGAATGCTGAAATTCTGACACTTGCTTTCCTGCACTTTCAAAGATATCCTTGTTAGGGCATAATATATTTCTTACTTTGAGGAAATGATTCTTGGAGTGAAAATAGTTTCCCAGTAAATTCAAACAAATATGGAAGTGTATGCCTTGTAACTTATAACTAAAATCTCTTAACCCTACAAGGAGAATACTTTATAAAAATTATTTTTGTCGATCCTGATATCTTGTATAGGCAGGGCCAATGCTATCTTTGATTATAAGTTTTAAAGTTGACACACTTAGTCTCTATTCCTTGCTGCCTACCCCTACTATCATCTGCATAAAAGATTTACTCTTCTCATATTTAAATAAGAATAGATACTCATAAATGTCTCATTATACTTACATGCTTTGCAAGAGCAACAGCCAAAAGGCAGGTAAAAATGAAGAACTTCATGTTTACTTAGTCCTATAAAATAGATATGTAGCAAATCAATAATAGTTTTACACTTCTTAAAACACAAATTTCTTCATTAATTATGTATTAATTTATCTTTGTTCCAGATAATTGGGTAAGAGAAATGAAAACTGATAAAAGCAAATTCATTGAGAAACACATGGTTATATGACAAGTTCTTCATATAGAGAAACTTTATTGACAGAACATAATGTAAATTTTGGTTTCTAAATGTAGAAGTTCCTTTCTGATATAGCAAGTTAGTAGGATTCTTGGCCCTATGTATAATTGGTTAATTTATTTATTGACTTAGTCATTCAATGAATATTTGTAATCACATGCCATGTACTATTCCAGACATGAAGGTGAAAAAATGAGTATAATCTATTAGGCCATATTATTTACAACTCTTCTTCAATATTGTGAAGAATGGCTGTCAGAAATGCAAAATACAAGAGGAACTAATTTTTAAATCATATTTAGTTGAGCCAAAACATGCAGTCTGGCTCCCTCATAAAGAGAAGTAGCAGGTAGAAGTAACACTGTGTTAGGTACAAGGAGGCCTGCTGTTCCCAGCTCGACCAGGGACTGGCTGCTGAAACTTGAGCACGTCACTGAACATCACTGCCCTTCAGTTCAGATATCTAGCAAAAGAGGGACTTGACAAAGGAGACTTGATTTCTAAGATCCCTACCAGCTCAATCTCTAATACTGTGACTATACATAAGTCCACAAGTTTTTCTGACCACATATCAGCACAACCTTTCCTGTAGTTAAAGACTGAAAAGTGAAATAAAGTTATTCTAATGCATTTTTGATATATAACAGTGTTTTACTCTCTAGATCTACAAATATTGTTAATTATTTTTAAAGGGGAAGATTTTATTTTACTCAAACAGTATTAAATTTGCTGGTGGTCCATACTTATGAACATCTGGAGAATGTGTACATACAGGCATTATTCTCTGTCTTAAGATTTGCATGGCCTAATTTTGTTATTAATTTCTCATTCCTACTAAAAATTTCAGATATATATATATTTACTCTTATAGGATGATGCATATGATATTCATTTTAGAAGCATTTCATAATGACAATGTTTTTAAATAAGATTGTAAACATATTGTTCCCTCTTAAAATCTGAAATAAATTTATTATATATAGTGGCTTACCTCAATTTTACTTAGACATTTTATTTTCCATGGATAAAAGAAATTGGAACGTTAACTGAGAGTTAAAGAAACACTTTTAGCATGCTGATAAATGAGAAATATAGAAATAGTTGCAGTTACTAAGGACCTGCTATATGCCAGACACTGTACTAGGTGTTATAAACATTATCTCTAGTCTCCAGAACAACTATGTTAGGTTAATGTGTCCGATTAACGGATGAAGAAAGCTATCCAGGAGGCCACACATCAAATATGCAGTGCCCTGGATTTCCAAAAACCTCATTATGATGACCTGGTCCTTAAAATAAGACTTTGGCACTTTATCATAAGATAGAGCAGTATAATAAACAGTTTCCAGTGTCTATATGTTAATTGTATCCAGAAGCACTGAAAAGAAAATAAATCAGTAGCTTACATTCATTATAAAACAAGTTCTCAAAGCATCTTAAGGTACACTGACATTAGTTTCTTTAAAAATATTTTTTAGAACAATGTTATTAGGTTTTACAATATTACAAGGCATATAGAATAACAAAAAAATAAATGAAAACATTACCTTGTTTCCTAAATGGAAGACAAGAAAGTCCAGGCAGTGGGAGACCTGAAATGCGTTATCACAGCACTATTTAAACCTAGTTTCTCCACTATATGGTGATTCTGTGGTTTAAAATACCTAAAAAGGATTCGAATTCTAAGAATTCATGATGATTAGAAATTGTTTTTCCGTCCAACTTTTGTACCACAGATTCCAAGGAGTGCTTCAACTCAGGTTGATTTAGAACATGATAACAGGAAATGAGGATGTTATAACGTATAGTGATTATCTATATTCTGTGCTTGTGTAACTCACCTGTGCCATATACTAGTTATGTGGTTCAGGATAAGTTTATTTTTTCCTAGAGGAACCTCAATGTCTCTTCTAGTCTAAAACATCTTGAGTAAATATCTAAAATGGCTTTTTGGTTATGTTAATTAAAATGTCATTAATATATGACAAAATATATTTCCCATGTTCATTTCTTATGATCTACCAACACTAAATATGTGGTTATCATATGCAAGTCTAAGTGGTATAATGGTAAACTTAGCTCTCCTACTAACTAGCAGTAACTTTCAAAAGCATTTACTTTCTTAACTTCTTTCAGTTTCTGAATCTGTAAAATAATAATAGTCATATTTAATCCAAATTATAAAACTGTAAGGATTAACAATAATTTGTGCAAAATGATTGGTATCTACATGGCACCTACTTTTTCAGAAGTCACAAAATGAAGTGGCTATAGTGACCCGGCAGGTAACATAAATGCCCAGAGTAGGTCCAGGTCTAAGGAAAAGAAGGTCATGGGGACTGTGGCCTTTCTGAAAGTGCAAGCCTAGTGTGAAAGGTAAAGTTAGTACTCAGATCCTGTCAATTTTGATGTATGACATGTAATATATATGCCCCATTGTTGCCACATCTTCCATGTTTTAGGATAAGCTAGGTGTTTCATTATTTATGTGGAATATTTTTGTATATTGATGTCAATGAATTAAAATTTTTAAAAAATATTGTGCCTGCAGACAGAACACAAGCACAGCTGGATTCTGCCAAAGTGCTGCCAACTTGAGATCTCTGGAGAAAATACTAGTTTTTAGGTTCATGTAATTATTGGAAAATGAATCATATTGGAAAACGAAGTCTTCTGGTTAGCTAAAGCATTAGTGTCCCAGCATCAAGATGTTAAAATTCCTAATAATTTTGTGTAGAAATCTTTGCAAAATTTACCACCATGTGAGTACATTTTTAACACTAAAGAAGACCAATTACTACATATGGTATTTAACAGCTTAAAGCTGTTTCTCCCATGAAATTATGTTTGCTGGAACTGCTCTATTTTAATCTGTGTCTGATTTTTATGTCTCCTTTACTGCTGCCTAGCAACTGTCTTGTTTTTTATGGAACTATTTATATAACTTTGTCCTCCGGAGGAGAAGAAATCTGGCTTTTCATCATTGCAAATCTGTCACTTAGGTTGGCCCGACACTTGGTCAATATTTAGTAAACACTTTAATTTAGCTTAACACTCAGGGCTACTTGCAGGAACAGTTTCAGCTCTCACTTATTGCTTTTAATTTTTGAGAGCATGGAAACCAGACAATCATGCTGTTCATTTCTGTGACTCTCTAGGATCTGTTCTATGCATTTCTTCCCTATGAAATATGAGTCTATCTGCTTCTCCTTCTTCCTTCCTGCCTATACCCTTTTCCTCTTAGTTTTACTTGCTTTGCTTGTACTTGCTCCTTCGCTTAGCCTACAATATCCTCAATTCTTCTTCATTCTACAGATACCATCTCATCATTCTGTGCCATTTCTCCTTTCACTCAGCACCAAACTTCTTGGAAGACTTCATACTTGTGGCTTTTTCCTCATAATCTCTTCAATTCATTGCTTCTGCAGCAGTTTATCTTCCATTGCTTAGATAATTGTAACCAGCTTCCTAATAGGTCTTCCAATCTCCTATCTGTTATTTCTAAAATACATTATCCACAGCATCCTCACACATATTTTTTGTTCTAAAATAGATGTAACAAGTAATTTTGCTGAATCAAAATATATCTATGGTTTCTTATACTAAGGTAATTTCAGGATATTTAACATAGAATTCAAGGTCATTCAAAATCTTCCCAAGAGATATTTCAGGCTCCATTTGTGGACATGTCTTATGCCTCATTCACAATCTTTCCAGAGCACACCACGAAATGTCCCATGTTCCTTCTGACTGGGAATGCCCTTCCATCACATTATTTACCTTGTAAATGCCCATGTGTTCATGAAGAGCCAGTTGAAATTTGAACCCATCTGTGAAAAGATCTCCCAAATCTTTGATGTACACAAATTTCTTATGTATACTATGAATAAAATATTTATCCAGATGCTGAAATTGAAAACTGTAGTTAAGATTCTTTGCTTCATTCAGTGAATAATTCTTGAGTACCTAGTATGTGCCAGAAATTATTCTAAGATCTCGAAGAAAGCCATAGAAAAATCAAAAGTAAAGGGAAAATCTATGCTTTCATGGACCTTATATTTTAACTGGCTGAGAGAGACGAACACATGATAAGTAACAAATGGTTTGTTTGACCATGATATGTGCTAAGGAGAATATTGAATTAGAGAAAGAGGATAGGAAGTATTGGTGGGTATGGGGTGTTCATTGTTAGATAGGATGGCCGTGGAATGCCTCTCTGAGCAGAGGAGTAAAAACTTTAAGGAAATAAGGAAGTAAATCTTGCAGATAGTTCAGGAGAAACTCATTTGCAAAGGACCTGATTTATGAACATGCCTGCCAAGACTGAGAAATATTGAATAGACCAGTGTGGTTGGAAAATAGTAAATTTGGTGGAAATGAGGTCAGAGAGGCAAATGGGGCCAATAATGTGGGGCTTTTGGGTATTGCAACCACCTCAAGAAAGCAATTATGCTGATTGGAAACTGATGTCAAGTAGAAGATAACTCTGGATTACTTACCAAAAAGTAAACTGAACAGGTTGAGGGAAGAAATATGACCATTATGGAGCCTATCCAATAATCTAGACACGTGATTATGGCAGTAGTGGGCATGGGGAGAAATTGTCATATTCTAGATATACTTTGAAAATTAGAGCAAATAGAATTTAATAGATTAGAAGTGAGGTGTGAGAGAAAAGAAAAGGTCAATAATTACTCCCGTTTTTGGCTTGATCACATGGATCAAGTTACCACTGACTGAGATGGCAAAGATTGAGAGAGGACCTGGTTTGTGGGGAAAACATCAGGAGCTTAGTTTTGTAAACGTTAAGTATTAGATGCAAAT